ACAGAACACCATCTGTGCTCCTGTCCCATCAACCAATCGACTCAGAGCCTTGAAGTCCTTTATGATTACCCTGGTACCCCTCTTATCAACCTCATCACTGCCAACCTGGCCAACCAGCAGTGGGTAATAATCAGAGGGCTAAATTAGTTCAAGGAGTCTCCTGGTAATATCTCTTACCCAGTGTTGAGGTTTAGGTTTTCTTTTTGTTTTTTTCCATGTCATCACGTGTGTCTGGAGATCATGGAAGACACTTCCCATCTTTTCCCCTCATGAAGGGATGGCGGGTGTGATAAACTGAGAAAATGATTCGGGCTAATTAAGAGAAAACAGTGTAAGGTCAATATGACCTGGAGAGAGAAAAGAAAAACAAATCGTAAAACTTAATTGGGCCCCTATAAAGAGATAAAACAAGTTACCTCCCTTTTACCTTGTGTAAGATTTATAGTGAAAGAATTTTGTTTAGTTAGTTAGATAATAGCACCTTTCTTAAAAATGTATAACTTTGTATAGATAACAAGCAAACATCTGCTGAATGTCTGACTTGACAATATATTACTGATGCTTATAGATAACATTCTTGTTAAGAAAAACATCTGTTGAATGTCTGACTTAACAATGTGTAATGTTTATGTTTATGTATAATGAATATTCATGAAGTAGCTGGAAATAAATGTAGAACAACTGTCTTTTTTGGGTGTGACAGGTGTTGGGAGTTGTTGAACCCCCTCCCTGATCACCCAGCGCTGAATTTGCTTTTATCATAAAATAAATTCTAATTGGAAATCACCCGACTGGGTTTCTATTTCTCACAAACTTGGTGACTTCGCCCGACATGATACCCTTTGTGTTCTGGGAGAAATTTAGTGCCTGGGATAGGAGTGCCCCCGCTGTTTTTCAGCGGCCTACTCACAGACCTAATATTTCAACAAGGACCAAGGGTAACGCATGCATATGATAAAAGCAAGGAATTAAAAAGCTCCTGGAGTGCTGCAGCAAAAAGCCCATAATTGTTGTGCACGAAGACCCGATTGAGAACAACGGACTGTGAGTATCACTTCGGGGGGGCGGATAAAGAGGTCGGAGTGAATGAGTGAATGAGATGCAGCATAGCTGCGAACCGAGAGCGGAGTCCTTCTAACCTCGTTTCTGTCTCCCTGCGAGGGGCGCAGCAGGTGAAGGGACGAAGCAATTGAATTGATGAGTGGACCTCTGGGGTCGGTGGGAGTTTTTCAGGAAGGACCACTGAGTCAGTGAAAAATCCTGGAAGGGATCCCAGAGGATCGGTGGGAAGGTAGGAAAACTTTAGAAGGGACCTCAGGAATATGGGGCAGGGAATTAGTAAATTAAGTTGCCCCAGGAAGGAAAGGAGCAGGCAGGCATTGCCGGATATACCCTTAGACAGTCCTCTAGGGGTAATGATCTTAAACTGGGAAAAGAGAGAGTACTAAAAATAAAGAAAAATCAAAAATGATTCAGTACTGCATGATTGAGTGGACTAAAGAAAAAATAAGGAGTGATGGTATCTCTTGGCCTGTGTATGGATCATTTGAGGGTTGGATCTGCCAAGCCCTCAACAGTTATGCAAACGGCAAGGAGTTGATAAACTCTGAAGAGAGTGAATATGCTGCTTGCTGGAAAGCAGAAGTTTGGTCAGAACCTACTAAAGTTTATAAGCTGACGAAAGAAAAGCAAGACGAAAAGAAAGTAACAGAAACCAAATGAGACCCATTAGACAATTTACCTCCACCCTATAATCCACCCCCTCAGCAACCCCTTTTACAACCCCCTCCACAGACCCTTTGTTCCCAACCCCTTTTACAACCCCCTCCACAGACCCTTTCATCACCCTCTTTACAACCCCCCTCGGCTGCTGTTCCCACAGTGCCTGTGAGTTATTCTCCACCTGTACAAACTCCTTTAACTGCAGACTCCACTACCCTGCAAAATCATAAGAGTGAAAATCCTGAAAAACATAAGACTCGGAAGAAGAGACGAACCACCCCAAGGGAAGTTAGAGCCCTTTTGGTAGAACAGGACAGTTCTAGTGAGGAAAACGAAGGGGTGTACTCAACACAGGAATTATACCCACTTAGGGAAGTGCCTTTGGGGGGAGCGCAAGGGGGAATTGGGTTTGTAAATGCTCCCCTAAGTTCAAGTGAAGTTCGGGCATTTAAGAAGGAGATGGGGAGGTTATTAGAGGACCCCTTAGGAGTAGCTGAACAACTAGATCAATTCTTGGGACCAAATACATTTACCTGGGGAGAAATGCAATCCATTCTGGGAATACTATTCAACCCAGAAGAGAGACAGGTGATACGGACAGCAGGGATAAGGATATGGGATAGGGAGAATCAAACAGGCCTCCCCGGGGACAATAAAATGCCCATTAATCCTCCCTATTGGGACTCTAATTCTGCCGTAGACCGACAACACATGGCAGATTATCGCACCTTAATCATAAGAGGAATTAAAGAAGCTGTGCCTCGTGGGTAGAATGTCACAAAGGCATTTAAAAACCAGCAAGAAAAAGATGAAACCCCGAGTGCATGGTTAGAGAGATTAAGAAGAGATTTACAGCAATACTCAGGAATCGACCCAGAAACTACAACTGGAAAAGTGGTACTAAAGGTCCACTTTGTAAATAATTCCTGGAATGATATCTGAGAAAAATTAGAAAAATTAGACGATTGGCAGCACCGGGGGCTTCAAGATTTACTGAGAGAAGCACAAAAAGTTTATGTGCGAAGAGATGATGAGAAAGCAAAAACAAAGGCAAAAGTGTTAGTAGCTGCCATCCGAGAATAACGTAAAGGTATAAAGTCAGATGAGAGGAAGAGTTTTAAGGGTGAAAAGAAAATGGGGGGTCTGAATAAACCCCAACAAACTGTGCCAAGGGGTCAGGAGTTAGCACGTTATTATTGTGGAGAAAAAGGTTATCTGAGGAGAAACTGCCCCAAGAGACAAAAGGATGCAAAACTGTTTGAGGAGGCTGAAAGAGATTAGGGAAGTCAGGGGCTTTATTTCCTGGGAGAAAAACATCATAAAAAACCCTTGATAAAATTGAGATTAGGCCCCCAGGACGAAGAATATGAATTTCTTGTAGATACCGATGCAGATAAATCATGTATTATCAAAATTCCTCAGGGTTGTAGGGCTAGTAAAGACACAATTAGAGTAATTGAAGTAAAAGGAGAAGGATTCCCAGTGCCTATAATAAAACAAGTTCAAATTGAGGGAGAAACCAAAATTACAGTGGGAGATTTACTTTTAGTACCTGAAGCAGGTTGTAATCTTTTAGGGAGAGACCTAGAGGTTTCCCTGGGAATAAGAGTTGTACCAGAAGAAGGAGAAATGAGAGTTAAAATAATGACTCTAAAAGAGGAAGATGAGGAAAAGATTAACCCCAGTGTGTGGGTCTCAGAAGACCAAGTGGGAAAATTAAAGATAGACCCCATAAAAATAGAAATAATTGATTCCAACCATCCAATACAAATAAAACAATATCCTATTTGTGTTGGTTTAAAAGTTAACCAGCAGGGGAAACCAGCCCAACTCAAAAGAGAGATTACAAGTCAGAATAACAATTTAATAAAATAATACAATAAGTACGAACACACAGACAAGCAACCGGTCCTAACCCACAAAGCCCAAATGTGCAACCCAGCACCCCAGGGCACAAACAAAACGGTACTCCCTGGGTCCCCCCCTGAGTCCAAAGCAAAGGGAGAGGGGAAAAACCTGCTGGTGGGAGAGCTCCTGCAGTCCGGCCAAAAGTGGTGATTGCAGTCCAGCCGAGGGTGGTGGTCTCAGTCCGGCTGAGAGCGGTGAGCTGCAGTCTGGCCGAGAGCGGTGAGCTGCAGTCCTCCTCTGGATCCCACGAGTGGTGGAAAGGTTCCGAAACTCCAGGTTTATATATTCTCCAGTTCAGACAGGAATGCTCAGTCCCTCCCTCAGAGCGGGGAATTCCATAAAAGGATGCTCAGTCCTTCCCTCAGAGTGGGGAATTCCATAAAAGGGCATGAGGACAGGAACATCCCCCCAACTCGCAGGCCTCTATTGACAACAGTTTCTGGGAAATGGCATGGAAGGCTATAGAATACACAGGTTTGGGTTACACCCATCCAGTGATGAATTGGTCCCAGCTGTTCTAACTAGGACATTATCCACCTCTTATTCTATGCCATCCATGTCATGCCCAAATTAACCCCCTTAAAGACTATGTCTCCTTAAAACTATATACCCTTATATATCTATATATACAATGAAACATTACAGACCATTCTCACTCAAAATTAGGTCCCCTTGTGGTACACGTGTCTCCCCATCTTTTTGCATTACCCACCAGGTGAAACCAGGTCCTTGAGCAAAAACAATCCCTCGGATGGGTTTGCCTTTGCTTGAGGTGGGACTAATCCAAACAGTCTTCCCTAACATTCCTCTCATATGCACCACGGGGACTTTATCTCCACCTACAGTATGCAAAGGTTCTGATTGGGCAGGGCCAACTCGATTGATGGAGCCTCGGGTGTTGACCGACCAGGTGGCCTTTGCTAAATGCAACTCCCAGTGTTTGAGAGTCTCCCCACACAGTGTCTTCAGGGGGGTTTTCAGCAGTCCATTGCACTGCTCAACTTTTCCAGCCACTGGTGCATGGTAGGGGATATGATAGACCCACTCAATGCCTTGCTCTTTGGCCCAGGTGTCTACAAGACCATTCTTGAAATGGGTCCCATTATCAGACTCAATTCTCTCCGGGGTGCCGTGTCGCCACAGGACTTGTTTTTCAAGGCCCAGGATGGTATTCCGGGCAGTGGCATGAGGCACAGGGTATGTCTCCAGCCATCCAGTACTTCCTTCTACCATGGTCAGTACGTAGCACTTGCCTTGGCTGGTTTTGGGGAGCGTGATGTAGTCAACTTGCCAGGTTTCCCCATACCTCTACTTCGACCACCATCCACCATACCATAGAGGCTTCACTCGCTTGGTCTGCTTGATGGCAGCACATGTCTCACAGTCATGGATGACCTGTGAAACAACGTCCTTGGTTAAGTCCACCCCTCGGTCACGAGTCCATCTGTATGTTGCATCACTCCCTTGGTGACCAGAGGCGTCATGGGCCCATCAAGCCCGGAATAATTCTCCTTTGTGCTGCCAATCCAGATCTACCTGAGAGACTTTAATCCTGGCAGCTCGGTCCGCCTGCTCATTGTTACGATGCTCCTCATTAGCCTGTTTCTTGCGTACATGAGCATCTACGTGACTGACTTTCACACTCAGCTTCTCTCCCCGGCCAGCGATGTCCTGCCACATCTCTGTCGCCCAGATGGGTTTCCCTTGGCGCTGTCAGTTGGCCTTTTTCCATCGCTCCAGCCATCCCCACAGAGCATTGGCCACCATCCATGAGTCAGTGTAGAGATAGTCTTGGCCACTTCTCTCATTCAGCTATATCCAAAGCCAACTGAACGGCTTTAAGCTCTGCAAACTGACTTGACTCACCTTGTCCTTCGGTCGCTTCTGCAACTCGCCGTGTGGGACTCCATACAGCTGCCTTCCATTTTCGGTTTCTCCCTACAAGGCGACAGGAGCCATCCGTGAAGAGCGCATATCGCCTTTCATCTGCTGGTTGTTTGTCATATGGTGGGACCTCCTCAGCCCGTGTCACCTGCTCCTCTTCTTCTTCAGAGGATAGTCCGAAACTCTCACCTTCGGGCCAATTGGTGATAATTTCCAGAATCCCAGGGCGATTAGGATTCCCTATCCGGGTTCGCTGTGTGATCAGAGCGATCCACTTACTCCATGTGGCATCGGTGGCGTGATGTGTAGAAGGAACTCTTGCCTTGAACATCCAGCCCAACACTGGTAGTCGAGGTGCCAGGAGGAACTGCGCTTCGGTGTCGATCACTTCTGAGGCAGCTCAAACTCCTTCATAAGCAGCCAGGATCTCTTTCTCAGTTGGTGTATAGCTGGCTTCAGATCCTTTGTATCCCCGACTCCAGAATCCCAGCAGTCGTCCTTGGGTCTCCCCAGGCACCTTCTACCAGAGGCTCCAGGAAGGGCCATTCTTCCCAGCTGCAGTGTAGAGCACGTTCTTCACGTCCTGTCCTGTCCTTACTGGCCCAAGGGCTACCGCATGGGTAATCTCCTGTTTAATTTGTTCAAAGGTTTGTTGTTGTTCAGGGCCCCACTGGAAATCATTTTTCTTCCGTGTCACAAGGTAGAGAGGGCTTACAATCTGACTGTACTCGGGGATATGCATCCTCCAAAAGTCCACAGTGCCTAGGAAAGCCTGTGTTTCCTTCTTGCTGGTTGGTGGGGACATGGCTGCTATTTTGTTAATCACCTCCATTGGAATTAGGCGGCGTCCATCTTGCCACTTCACTCCTAGGAACTGAATTTCCTGAGCAGGTCCCTTGACCTTACTCCATTTAATGGCAAAACCAGCTCTTAGGAGAATCTGGATTATCTTCTTTCCTTTCTTGAAGACTTCCCCCGCTGTGTTCCCCCATACAATGATGTCGTCAATGTACTGTAGATGTTCTGGAGCCTCGCCCCTTTCCAGTGCAGTCTGGATCAGTCCATGGCAAATGCTGGGACTGTGTTTCCACCCCTGAGGCAGTTGATTCCAGGTGTACTGCACACCTCTCCAAGTGAAAGCAAATTGTGGCCTGCGCTCTGCTGCCAAAGGAATGGAGAAAAAGGCATTGGCAATGTCAGTGGTGGTATACCACTTGGTTGCCTTGGACTCCAACTCGTACTGGAGCTCCAGCATGTCCGGCACAGCAGCACTCAGGGGTGGTGTGACTTCATTGAGTCCATGGTAATCCACTGTCAGCCTCCACTCTCCGCTGGACTTACGCACTGGCCATATAGGGCTATTAAAGGGTGAGCGAGTCTTGCTGACCACCCCCTGGGTCTCCAGGTCACAGATCATCTTATGTATAGGAGTCACAGAGTCTCGATCGGTGCGGTATTGCCGACGGTGCACTGTTGCTGTGGCTATTGGTACCAATTGTTCTTCAACCTTCAGCAGTCCCACAGCAGAGGGGTCCTCTGAGAGACCAGGCAAGGTGTTCAACTGTCTAATTTCCTCTGTCTCCACAGTAGCTATGCCAAAAGCCCAACCAAGTCCTTTTGGGTCTTTGAAATACCCACTCCTCAGGTAATCTATGCCAAGGATGCACAGGGCCTCTGGACCAGTCACAATGGGGTGTCTGTGCCATTCCTTCCCAGTTAGGCTCACTTCAGCTTCCAGTACAGTCAGCTGTTGGGATCCCCCTGTTACCCCAGAAATGGAGATGGATTCTGCCCCTATGTATCTTGATGGCATTAAAGTACATTGTGCACCGGTGTCTACTAAGGCCTTATATCTTTGTGGCTCTGATGTGCCAGATCACCGAATCCACATTGTCCAATAGACTCGATTGTCCCTCTCCTCTACCTGGAGAGAGGCAGGGCACCCCTAGTCCTGGTCATGGTACTCATTGTGCTCTTCTTGTGAGTATGACCTGGAGGTCCTTTCAAGAGGATCAGACGTATCATCATTCCTGTACCGTCTGGAGTCTTGCCCATGAGAGACTGGAGCAGTATTTACCCTTGAAGAGTTCCTTGTGGTACTTGTCCCTCTTTTCAGTTCACGTACCCGGGTTGCTAAGGAAGAGGTGGGTTTCCCATCCCACTTCCTCATATCTTCTCCGTGCTCACGGAGGTAAAACCATAGATTGCCACGTGGAGTGTACCCTCTCTCCTTAACTCGGGGACGCTGGCTCCTAATAGCAGAGACTCTTGTTTGTCCTGGTACGATATGGAAGATCCCTTCCTTAATTTCTTCTCTTAGCTTCTGGTGTCCCTCTTCAATCTCCTCTTCCAGGCTTCGGACATGTTCGGCCAGTTTGGTTTCCACAGATGAGACGTGGGTTTGTAATGGGGCGGTGACAGTGTCTTCATAAATCCTGAGTTTACTAACCAACGCGCCCACCTTGTCCTCTCCCTCCCTCCATTGCAACGTTGCTAAGTAGCGGGAATACATTTCTGGCCCAAGTCGTGCAAACTTTAATCACATCTGGGATGTGCACTGTACACCATCTGGACTTTTAGGGAATCTTTCATCCTCTGAAAAGATTATCTCCAGTACAGTTAATTCTCTTAAGCACCAGATACCTTGTTCCATCGTGTTCCACTGTCCTTGCTGTACGTGGAGGTCCTCCTTGCAAAGGTATCTCTCCCTCACACAGGACAACAGTCACCACCAGAGGCTGAGAGTTTCCTGCCTCCTTCCAATCCCCTGATCAATGACTACATCTCAAGACAGGGATCCCAGCTGTCTGGTTTCACTCCCATCTAGAATTGTATCGTTAGCTGTGGCATCCCAGATTCGGAGCAGCCAGGTCAGAATGGACTCATTCGCCTGTCATGTGAACTCTCTCCGGAGCTCACATAGTTCATCCAGGGATAGGGACCGAGAGATTATTTCTGGTTTTGTGTCCTCCGGTGGATGTGAAGGTCCTGCCTCTTCGTCATCATTTGCTATACGGACTGATTTAGTCTTTGATTTCCTTTTCTGGACAGGGGCGACTGCTATTGGTTTCGGTTGTTCTTCTGGCTCCTCGATGGTTTGTGTGGACACGGTGCCGGTTGGTTTATTTCTTTCTCCCTCTGACTCAGCTGTGGTTTGGGTGGACATGGTGCCTGTGGATTTGCTCCTTCTCTCCTCCCCCTGACAGTGCTGTACCATGTCAAGTAGTGTCCGGTAGGCAGTGACCAGGGCCCAGCAGGTTGCTGTGAGCTGGCCATCTCTGGAGCTGCCAGAGCATTTTCCCTTCACCAGTCTTATCATGCTAACAGGATCCTGCAGTTGTTCAGGGGTGAATTTCCAGATCATTGGAGGAGAAAACTTCTCCAAATACTGGCCGATGTCCTCCCACTTCCCGTGCCACTCAGCATTATCCACTCGCAGGGCAGGCGTCCCAACAACCTCCCTAGAAGGCCCTGTTCTGACCCTAAACATGGTGTAGACAGTACAGAGCAGACAAAGCAACACTAACAATAACATTATGCTATCCTTAACATCAAAAGGGAACTCAATATTTTCAAAAACTGTTGTAGCAGGTCTGAAGGGGAAGAAAGAGGTGAGAGGCTGGAAACAACCATTCCCCCCTGTTGCCCCAAAGGGCTGCGTGCGATTTTTAATGAGGCCCCAGAGGTAGCAACCCAAACCAGGACAGGTAAACAGGACTGAATACACATTTACAATGAAACTCATTGCTTCTGATGTTATGATGACATAAATATAGTATACTAATAAAGCAATTTGAATCCCTCTCCCTGGTTTTAAAGAGAGTATCAAAACAGGCAAATAGTTCCCCATCTGTGGAAATATGAACATGCTCAGATACAACATCCATGTGAATGCGTCAAACAACATGGTGATCAGGGAGTTTCTGTATCCAAACAGACAAATGCTTAAAATGAAATTGTGATTCTGACTTCTCTCTCTCTCTGCCCCACGTTGGGCACCAAAAATGTGCTGGTTTAAAAGTTAACCAGCAGGGGAAACCAATCCAACTCAAAAGAGAGATTACAAGTCAGAATAACAATTTAATAAAATAATACAATAAGTACGACCACACGGACAAGCAACCGGTCCTAACCCACAAAGCCCAAATGTACAACCCAGCACCCCGGGGCACAAACAAAGCGGTGCTCCCTGGGCCCCCCCCGAGTCCAAAGTAAAGGGAGAGGGGAAAAACCTGCTGGTGGGAGAGCTGCTGCAGTCCGACCAAAAGTGGTGATTGCAGTCCAGCCGAGGGTGGTGGTCTCAGTCCGGCTGAGAGCGGTGAGTTGCAGTCCTCCTCTGGATCCCACGAGTGGTGGAAAGGTTTCGAAACTCCAGGTTTATATATTCTCCAGTTCAGACAGGAATGCTTAGTCCCTCCCTCAGAGCGGGGAATTCCATAAAAGGGTGTTCAGTCCTTCCCTCAGAGTGGGGAATTCCATAAAAGGGCATGAGGACAGGAACATCCCCCACCTCGCAGGCCTCTACTGACAACAGTTTCTGGGAAATGGCATGGAAGGCTATAGAATACACAGGTTTGGGCTACACCCATCCAGTGATGAATCGGTCCCAGCTGTTCTAACTAGGACACTATTTCTCAAGAAGGAAGAGCAAAACTTAAACCTATTATAGACAAATTACTGACAAATGGAACTTTAGAAGTCTGTATGTCCCCTCATAACACCCCTATACTTCCAGTAAAAAAAGGGGATGGTACCTTTAGGCTAGTCCAAGACTTAAGGGAAGTAAATAAAAGAACAATTGCCCAATTCCCTGTAGTTCCAAACCCATACACCCTTTTGAGTCATATTCCTCCTAATTACATATGGTATAGTGTGGTCGATTTAAAAGATGCTTTCTGGGCCTACCCACTAGATGAAGAAAGCAGAAATATCTTCGCCTTTGAATGGGAAGATCCGCAAACACGGAGGAAACAACAATTAAGATGGACAGTTCTTCCTCAGGGGTTCACAGAATCTCCAAACCTGTTTGGACAGGCCTTAGAAAAGATACTATTAGAATTCCCTAAACCTCCGGGAATAGAGGTTATACAATATGTAGATGATTTATTAATTGTTGGGGAAAGTGAGGAGGGAGTCAGAGAAATGACAGTAAAACTTCTTGGGGGAAAAAGGATTAAAAGTTTCCAAGAAGTTGTTACAATTTGTAGAACAAAAGGTAAAATATTTAGGTCACTGGTTAGATAAGGGAACTAAAAGACTAGATGCTGAAAGAGTGAGAGGAATATTGACCCTAGTTCCCCCAAAAACTAAAAGGGATATAATAAGGTTACTGGGATTATTAGGATACTGCAGGTTATGGATTGAGGGTTATAGTGGATTAGTAAAGTTTCTATATGAAAAGTTTACCCAAGAAGTAGTGAAGTGGAATGACAAAGATAGTGAAAAGCTAGAAGAAGTTAAAAGAGCTCTAACCAGAGCTCCAGTTCTAACACTCCCTGAACTGAAGCAACCCTTTCAGTTGTTTGTAAATGTAGAACAAGGAATTGCTTATGGAATATTAACCCAGGAAAAAGGAGGACATCGAAAGCCAGTAGCGTATCTGTCAAAATTACTAGACCCAGTCAGCAGAAGTTGGTCCGTGTGCTTGCAAGCTGTCACAGTCACTGCTATATTAGTGGAAGAAAGCCGTAAAATCACCTTTGGAGGAAAAATTACAGTTTACACCCCCTACGCTGTACGAGCACTACTGAATCAAAAAGTGGAAAAATGGCTAACAGATGTCCTCATTTTAAAATATGAAGCTATATTAATCCATAGTCCAGACTTAGAACTCCTAGTAACTAACAATCAAAATCCGGCACAATTTTTATATGGGGAACCAAGTGAAATTACTCAAATACTAGAGCATGACTGTTCAGAACTAATACAATTACAAACCAAAGTCAGAGAAGATTTAGAAGAGGTGGAATTAGAAAACGGACAAAAATATTTCGTTGATGGTTCCTCCCGATACAAAGATGGGAAGAGAATTTCTGGATATGCAGTCATCAATGGGAATAATATGACAATTGCAGAATCAGGAAAGTTTAGTTCAGCCTGGTCAGCACAAGCGTGTGAGTTGTATGCTCTCTACCGGGCTCTTGAATTATTAACAGGAAAAAAAGGAACAATTTTTACAGATTCAAAATATTGTTATGGAGTCGTGCACACATTTGGGAAAATTTGGAAAGAAAGAGGGTTAATAAGCACGAGAGGTAAATCACTAATACATGAAGAGTTGATAAATCAAGTATTAGAAGCTTTAAGGAAACCCCTAGAGATAGCAGTAGTCTATGTAAAAGGACATCAAAAGGGAATATCATTCATAATCTGAGGAAATAACTTAGCAGATGAAGTGGTCAAAGATGCAGTTGAAAAAGGGGAAATAACTAAGTTACATATATTAAACTTACAACAGCCTGAGAACTTAGAAATACCAGTATTTTCAGAGAGGGAAGAGAAAGAACTAACACGAATAGGTGCAAAGAAGCAAGAAGGGGGGGCATGGATCTTAGCAGATGGGAGAAAAATGGTTTCTAAACCAATAGCACGAGCAATATTAATGAAATTACATCAAACTACTCACTGGGGAACACGAGTTCTCTGTGATCAGTTTTTACAATGTTATGGGTGTATAGGAATTTTTGAAATCGCTAAACAAGTTACCAACCACTGCTTGACATGTCAAAAAGTAAATAAAAAGGTTATGAGAAATACTCCTGTAGGGGGAAGGGATATTGCATACCGACCCTTCGAGCGAATACAGGTGGATTTCACAGAACTCCCACCTGTGAATAGATGGAAATATCTACTAGTAATAACCGACCATCTAACCCACTGGGTAGAAACAATACCTACTGGAAGGGTTACAACAAATTTTGTAATCAAAATACTACTTGAAAATATAATTCCTAGATACGGAATGGTATATAGTATAGATTCAGACAGAAGAACTCATTTCACCTCAAAAATACTTAAAGAAATAACAATTACGATAGGAATCATGTGGAAACACCATACTCCCTGGCACCCCCAAAGTTCAGGGAGGGTTGAGCAAATGAACCAGACTCTGAAGCAAGCCCTAACTAAATTGATGATTGAAACCCAGATGTCATGGGTTAAATGTTTACCCCTGGTCTTACCGCGTATTTGAACCCAACCCAGGGCAGACCTCGGTCTATCACCATATGAAATGCTTTATGGAATGCCTTATATCTGGTTAAAAGATGCAGTAGGTGACGATAACAATATTGACACCAAATTAAGACCATACATACAAACACTTGCAAAAAGGTTGACAGAAATAAGAGAACTAGGAGCCTTAGCCCAAACAGCACCATTAGATTTCAAGATACATAAAATAAACCCTGGGGATTGGGTCCTAATAAAGAGATGGAAAGAAACTTCTTTAACCCCGTTTTGGGAAGGTCCCTTCCAGGTACTGCTCACGACAGAGACCGCAGTGCATACAGCAGAACGAGGGTGGACACACGCAACCAGAGTGAAAGGACCTGTTGCTCCACCACCCCTGAAAGAGTGGACTGTGTCATCAACGCCTGGGGACCTACGACTTAAACTCCAGAAGAGACCTTTATGAATGTATCACCTGAATGGAGAAAACATATCGAAGGCTGGAATGAGTTATCCCCAGAGCAAAGAGACTTAAGGGTCTGACAGGTATTTCCTGAAAGTTTCTGCGTAAAACCTAGCCTGAGATCCTGGTTTCAATTGGCCCCAGGACAAATTCTTAAGAGACAGTGGTTTGTTTCTTGGAAAGAGGGAGCCATCCCCTGGCAGAGTGGAGGGGCAGGTGCATATTTTACTAATCGTTTAATTAACCCAATCCTTGTGTTAGTTTGTGACCTTAAGAAAGAAGATCCCCTAATTCCTGGACCGCCACCACCAGATCACATACGTTGTATAAAACATCCGTGGGCTCAACACGATGGTTGGGTAGAGTGTCAGTGTAAGCACTGTCACTGCAAATGGTCCTGTGTGGTCTTTAACCAACATATACATTGCCCTAAGTGTCGTGACACGCACGGAGATCAACCCCAATTAGAGTCAGTACAGATAAATAAGTTGTTCTGTGGGTGGGAATTGTTATTACCAGTAAATTGGGAAATATTTGAAACAGACTGGTATGAAGCATTAAGATACAGTGCAAAGAAATTTGCTGGAGAAACAGCCCAAATTGACTGCCCAGTAGATGACTTTATAGACCCCATGTAAAGAATGTCACAATGGTTAACAATTTATATATTGATTAATTTTGCTGTCAGAACACGTTGTTGCGAGATAAAGTGAACCTTTACCTTGAAACGGAAAAACCGGGCCTTAATTAAATTAGAAGATCTAAAAGGGGCAAGACCAGGTTAACCTCTGAGCCTGCCACTGACAGCCAACCACGGGTTGCAACCCCGTTCGGGCATGGGTCGTGGAGGCTTAAGTTATGCTGGACCCTTTTGGATACTCTGCTGCTTTTGGGCTCACATCCTGTCTGACGAATGTACAAAATGCTACCAAATTACACGATATAAAGGCCGTATGATTCAAAGCTTAAGTTACCACTCATTTGTCAACAAAGTCTGCTATGACTCTAGACAACTGAACACTTGCAACACGGGTTCTCGGCAACTATGGGTAGTAAAAAATTTAGGAAAAGGGGGAACCAGGTTGGGACTTAGTTGTCCTAAGGGAGAGGAATGGATTTGTTTCACTCAAGAATGCCACTGGGACATTTCTGATGGTGGTGGAATGCAGGACTTGAAAAGGGAGGAAATAATAAAACAGAGGGTGCAAACCACATTAAAAGGAACCACACAAGGAAAGCCTTCCAACACAGGTGACTTATACCAGAAATTAAAAGACAAACTAGGAGAAGATTGGCAACTCCCGGGTTATGGAACTAACCTATATATTGATCTAATGGAACATATTATTCAAACCTTAAATTTATCTAAGTGCTGGATTTGTAGTGGACCTTTGACGACAGAAGATTGGCCCTGGAAAGGGACTGGCCTCACTCCATGGGAAATTTTAAAATGGAATCACTCCCAGAAAGCATCAGAATCTAGGCCCCAAGGTTGGATTTTAATTTCTGACATAGTTGGACAAGAATGCATTGAACGGAGAGGTAGGGAAACATATAAAACTAAAGTAGGAGAGTCCCCATGCCTATCAGTGAAAATAATAAATACCACAGGAGAATATTGGTGGTCAAAAGAACCATTAGGATATTGGACTAACAATATGACTGCAGATTGTACTTATCATGATGAAGCTCAAAGCTGGTGATGTAATGAAACAAATTTGAAAAACCCTTTTGAAAGCATAAAAGAATTAAAAATATATTGGGACCAAGCAGGTAGTACCGATTTAGAATGGGTGGCTCCAGAAGGATTATTTTGGATATGTGGAAAGCGAGCATATACATAGCTCCCTAGAGACTGGAGAGGAGTCTGTACACTAGGTATAATCCAACCAGGGTTCTTCTTACTGCTCCCCCGAAAAAGGTATGAGTTTAGGTGTACCTTTGTATGATGATTATGGAACCATACGTCGAGAAAAAAGGGATGACATTGGAGGAACTCAAAAGTGGTACCATGATGAATGGCCTCCTGAACGAATCATTGCTACTTACGGACCAGCTACTTGGGCCCAAGATGGAACCTGGGGTTATCGAACCCCCATATACATGCTAAATAGAATTATACGCCTTCAGGCAGTCATGGAAATAGTAGTCAATAAGACAATTCAAACTTTGGATCTAATCACAAGTCAGCAATCAAAAACGCGAGCAGCTGTATACCAGAATAGGTTTGCCTTAGATTATCTGTTAGCTGAGGAAGGGTGTGTGTGTGGTAAATTCAACACTTCAGATTGTTGTTTACAAATTGATGATAATAGACAGGCAGTTATGGATATTGCACAGGATATCAGAAAACTGACTCACGTACCTGTACAAAAATGGAACCCAATGCTCGACAGTCAATGGTGGGATAACTTGTTAGGAACAGGTTGGTGGAAGAAAGTAGGATTCTTTTTATTATGTGCGTTGGCCAGTATAATATTTTTACCATGTTTAATCCCTTGTTTCATTAGATTTATAGTTTCTGTCGTACAAGGAATGCAAATATCAACAATGCTGATAGATCCAAAGACGGCTCAAAGTGCCAAAGTACTGTTAGTCACCAGAACTCCACCTTCCCGAGATGAAGAAAATGTCAAATTAATATTGTCCAGATTAGAGTAAAAAACTCGAATCAATAATTGTATAGAAAGAGAGGAGGGATTGTGATAAACTGAGAAAATGATTTGGGTTAATTAAGAGAAAACAGTGTAAGGTCAATATGACCTGGAGAGAGAAAAGAAAAACAAATCGTAAAACTTAATTGGGCCCCTATAAAGAGATAAAACAAGTTACCTCCCTTTTACCTTGTGTAAGATTTATAGTGAAAGAATTTTGTTTAGTTAGTTAGATAATAGCACCTTTCTTAAAAATGTATAACTTTGTATAGATAGCAAGCAAACATCTGCTGAATGTCTGACTTGACAATATATTACTGATGCTTATAGATAACATTCTTGTTAAGAAAAACATCTGTTGAATGTCTGACTTAACAATGTGTAATGTTTATGCTTATGTATAATGAATATTCATGAAGTAGCTGGAAATAAATGTAGAACAACTGTCTTCTTTGGGTGTGACAGGTGTTGGGAGTTGTTGAACCCCCTCCCTGATCACCCAGCGCTGAATTTGCTTTTATCATATAATAAATTCTAATTGGAAATCACCTGACTGGGTTTCTATTTCTCACAGCAGGGAAGGGGGGGGAATAAAAGAGGTTAGCAGTTCCAGTTTGCTCTCTCTCACTCCCGGAAGGAACCTGGCAAGTCTGGCAAGTCCCCGACCACTGGTGCCGCTGCCATTTCTACTGCTGCCCTGCGCTTTTTCTGCCTGCTGCCTGAGATGTGGCTCCTGGAGTTGCCACTTGCTTTCCCTGATGGCCTCTCAAGCCACGGCACTCGTCCCGCGCTCCTGGTGTTGGCGCTGCTCCGCATACAAGTACTCCTCCCCGCTCCCTGCCGCTTCTTGCTGTCCGTAACCCCTTTTCTGCCGCTGCTCCGCCCAGAAGTCATGGCGCTGCTGCTGCCGCCGGCCTCCCTGCCTGGAGCCACCACTTCCCCATGGCCGCTGCCGCCTTTGTTTGTCTTTTGTGTAGCCGTGACTCTGCCCCGGCTACATCGTGATCACCTGACCTCACTGAGACTGTGTTGTCACTTCGGCGGTGCGGAAGCGAAAGAGTGATTTTTGGGTGACATTTTCCCTGTTATTGTTTGGTTGTTGTTTTGTTCTGTTTTGTTCTCTGTTTTAGTAAAACTGTTGTTCATTTTGTTGCCTAAAGAAAATTTAGGGAGAAAAAAACTCCAAGGCAAATTAGTTTTGGACGTGAGATAAGGAAAGGATTTTAATTTGTGCCTAGGCATAAAGATTCCATGACGCGCGCCTGTCCCTCTGTTCAGATGTTACAATTTATAATATTGTCTGTCCAATCCCAGATGTTTCCACCCTGTGGCTTTTGCCCTGATCCACCCTCGGTCCACCCCTGGGGAATTGGGGCTAGGGGCTTTTCGAGACCCTCTTTTCATCAATGATCATCTTCTTCAGAGTACAAGGGGCATATATTCACCCAGTTCTTGACTGTACTTTTGCGGTTTAGGCCAAGGTACAAGTGTTCTCTAAACAAAATAGGCTTACTTTGACAAGAGACTAAACATTTTCTAATGGAATTCAGGGGTAGAATTGATACTGGGAGCATGGAATGGGGTGATAGGGTTGGGGAATGTGTGTAGTTACTATGCTAAGGGTAAAGGAATAAGGGCTGCTGCTTCTAAATCTGCTTCTACTATATAACTACTTATAAAGCTTATAAAAATTAGGAAAATCAAAAAACAGATGGACCTTAAGGCATCAGTTTCTACATTTTAATCAAATGCCTCATAATTTCAAATTTTCGTAATTTGAAGGGAGGGTTTTTTATTCCATCGGAGGTCCCGCCTCCTGGCACACATTGTCTATAAACCAAGACACCTGGGCCCAAGGGAGGCAGCAGACTTCCGTGTTGGATGGGTCTGGTTGGCATACAGGGCCCTCAGTTCCTGTCAAAAGGAAGTCGCCCACTACAACTACTCTTCTTTTCTTCTTAATAGCTGAGGTTGTGATCCGTCTGATTGACGGAGTGCAACTGGGAGACCCTCCAGACAGATTTTTTTCTTGAGTGTCATCTGCCTGACCCTCTAGATCCAGGGCCTCATAGCTATTCTGTAAGGTCACCTGGGATGGCAATGGGGGTCAGGAGGGGATTCTTTTACCTCCCCAAGCAGGGACCCATTTCCATTCCCCTGCATCTACTAGGTCTCCTTCTGCCTGATGGCAAGAGTGGCGGGGCTTCTCTGACTCCTGCTGAGCTTCTCAGCAGGTTGGAAGAGTGTAACTCCACCAGCCTATTTCTTTTTCACTCTCCCTGATACTCCTTAGCCTTTACAATTCTTTCTTAAGCTCTACCATTAGACAGAGCAGATCATT